ATATGAACATACACCTATATATTTTCCCAGACACACACACACATACAGAGATTCACCCGTATATACACACAGAAACACAGACACATATGTATAGCTGCCGTGATGGTCCAATGATTAATGCACTGGACTCTCGTGATCCCGATTTCAATTTCCTCCTGCACTCTGACTCATGGCTTGTGCCTGGTCTCACGCCTTCAGCTGGCAAACGCAGGTGTTATAGAGGAAGTCGCCACTGTGGTATTAGTGGTAACCCGCTAAACCACATTTACATATATGTACGCGTACATATGTAAACAGAAAGATATCTACGTATAGATGCGCTTGTGTGTGTGTGTGTGTGCGTATGAATATAGATACACATTTATTTATTAATTTATATATACACACGCTCATACATATCTATATCTATATATCTATATATATATATAGGTATGTGTGTGTGTATTTACGTGTGTATATATATATGTGTATGTGTACAAGCATATATATACATATATATATATATATATATATATATATATGTTTGTGTGTGTGTGTCCGTATATATATATATATATATATATATATATATATTGTGTGTATGTGTTTGTATATTTATAAGTATATCTATGAATAAGAAAACCGCATGTATCCGTCTTATAAGGAAGTTCGAAACATTACGATTAAATTTCATTACATATTGAAGCTATTTTCTTATTCACCTACATGTAACTATGCGTGTTTTTGTTCACACACACATACACATTTATCTATCTATATGTTACACATATACATGTACATACATTGTATATATATATATGTATGCATACATATACATACATATATATGTATGTGTGTTTGCACACCAACACACACGCGCGCGCGCGTGACACTTTATACGTGCGTTGAGTCTAATGAAAGCACAGACATAATGTACTTGTGTCTCTGAGGTGCAACTTGGGTCCTGCCAGTGGTGCACCGCGACCCTTCCAGGCAGCAGCTCTCAGCAGCGTCCCCCGGGCAGTCCAAGTGGTGTCCCTCGATCTTCCGAATTGCGCGCCTTCAGACTTCCAGTGGTCCCTACACCCTTCCAAAGGTGTCCTATTGGTCTTGTTGCATCGGTATCCCAGCGGACATTGAAGTGGCACTCCTTCGATGCTACCAATGAAACCCACCCCCGCCGGCCTATCCAACGGAATCTATTGTCGTATTTTAGATGCCAAAAGATGCCATAGGACGTGTAAAACCTGACTGGTTAGGCTAGGCGAATAGAGTAAAAAAAAAAAAAAAAAAAAAAAAAAAAAAAAAAAAAAAATATATATATATATATATATATATATATATATATATATATGTGTGTGTGTGTGTGTGTGTGTGTACGTATACATGTATGACTGTGTATATATATACATACATATATATGTGTATGTGTGTACATGTGTGTATGCATGTACATGTATATATGTGTGAATATACACATATTTATCAGTAACTATCTATCTATCTGCCTATCTACCTACCTATCTATCCTTTTATCTACCTATCTATATATATATGTGCATATATTTATGAATGTAATCAGCCAAATCGGCAGGTGTGTAAGTATAGATATATGGGGTTAAATGCGTAAGCGCACATATTTGTGTACATATATACACATCCATATGTATCACACACGTACACACACACACACACACAAACACATATATATATATATTGTACCAATTGCATTCTTCGAAAACGGAACATTTTTCTCAAGATAAGTGACGGTAAAGGTCACTGGGAGGAGCTAGGACTCGACCAGCCGGTATATAAAGTCGGCCGCCAGTCTTCCAACACCACTCTAGTTTCCCCTTTTACTTGGGTCATATATCTCTCAAACAATGAAGTCTTTTATATTTTCTGGTTAGTATGTATTTTATCGCACTCATATATTGGTTGATAAACAGTTCCAAATAATATTTCAGAGTTATGTTTGGTAAATTATAACTTTCTCTCATCAGCTATCGTCTGCGTCGTTGTGGCAGACAGTCGCTACGGATCCAACGGAAATGGTAACGGCTTCGGAGCGCCTCGACCCAGCAATGGCTATGCGCCCCCAAGTAACACATATGGCACGCCCTACGGAGTAGACCCTGAGATTGCCGCTTTGGCTGAGAACATTCCCGGGGGCGGCGTCCCCGGCGAGGACTACCCCATCTTGGCTTCCGTGCCCGACACCGGCTTCTCCTGTGATGCCGTAGAGGTGCAAGGTTATTACGCCGACACTGCAGCTGAAGCCGGCTGCCAGGTGTTCCATATCTGCCAGGACCGCGCCCTCAGGCGCCAACAGGACTCGTTCCTGTGCCCCAACGGTACCATCTTCAACCAGCAGTACCTGGTATGTGACTGGTGGTTCAACGTGGACTGTTCTCAAGCTGAGAGCTTCTACTCCGTCAACGAACTCATCGGAGTCGTTCCCAACGCCGGTTATGCCTATGCTGCCGCCACCAACGGCATTTCCCTTAATGGCAACGGATTTGGCTCAAATGGCAAGGGCAGGAATGGAAACGGCAACGGAAGAAACGGCAACAACGGCAACCAATATGGCGCTCCAGCAGCTCCTTCCAACTCGTACGGTTCCCCTTTCTAAGCTGAGTTTTATCTAATGAGCCTCGCGATTTTAAGAAAACGTCTCAGTTATACCTAATGTACATCCGTTACACTGCTACTATCTTTTCTCAAATCAAATTATGTTATGTTAGAAATTGCCTTTGTTATTCTGAATACTGGAATTTCCAGGATATCTAAATGCAATTTCATTTAGAAATATGATATATTTATATATTTATATGCATTTCACATAATAAAGTGAATATTGTCTTTCCATTGCATTTTTTCCCCTGTATATTGTCAGGACAAGTCGTTTATATATAAATGCATATATACATATACATAGCATATACATATATATGGTATATACATACATACACACACATATATATATGATATATACATATATGTATTTGTATGCATATATGTATTTGTATACATATATGCATATGTTTATATTCATATGTAAATATATATGTATATATACATATGTATATGTACACACACATATATATGTATACATATGTAAATATGTATGCCACCTTCTGGGATTCCAGGTTAAGTCCCACTACTCTGATCAGCTGTGACAGCACAGAAATGGACAAAAGGACTATTTTCTAAAGCGCAGTATATACTAAATTGCTGAATACATATATACATATACAAATAAGTATACATATACATATATATATGTAAACAAATACATATATATGTATGTATATATATACACAATCCTGTGCGTGTAAATGCGATATGTATATGTTTATACATATATATAATGTACATATAACTATACATATGCATATATATATGTCTGTGTATTTATATATACATATACTGTATACGTATGTTTATATATACATGTTTATAAATGCATATGTGTATGTTCATATATACGCATATAGATATATATGCATACATACACACATATCTTGTGTGTGTGTGTGTGTGTGTGTGTTTGCGATATGTATATGTATATACGTGTATATTTGTATTATATATATATACATCCACATATGCATATATATATATATATATATATATATATATATATATATATATATATATGCATGTGCGTGTGAGTTTGTGTGTGTGTGCATATCTATGTGTGTATTGAATATATAGATAGACAGATAGAAATTTATATAGATATGATGCATATCTATCAATCTATCTATATATACATACATATACATATATATATATAATATTTGTTTATGTGTGTGTAGTGTATATGCATTAGAGAAAGTGTGTGTGTATATGTGTATGTATATAAATTTATATGGATATACTGTATTTGTATGTTTATATATACACGTGTGTATATATAGAGAGAGATATGTATGTTATATACATACGTATATATATATATATATATATATATATATATATATATATATATGTATATATATACATATACATATACCCGTTTATGTATGTATGAGTTTTCTATATAAGTATGACTATTTATGTATATGCATATATATACAAATAAACATATATATATATATATATATATATATATATATACACACACACACACACACACACACACACACACACACATATATATATATATATATATGTATGTATATATATGCACAGAACCCAGGCAAATGCAAAGACATATATTACAATAGATGCATATAAGACATATAAGTCCTTGAAATATTAACATCCTTGTCATTAAGCCAGCTCATAGCGCAAGTTGTGTTTAGCCAATAATGCGTTTGTTGCCCAGTTGGTGCACTGGGCGCTTCTTTACTCACATTTCAGATTTTTTAACGCGTAGGTTTGATACTGATTCGGGGGTTTTATGCATAGTGTTTATATGTATTATGTGTAAGTCTATATATATGTGTGCGTGTGCTTGTAAATGTGTATACACACATAGTGTGCATTATGAGTGTATTCCCGTGTGCATCTGTGTTGTGTGTATAAGTAGATGCATGCGTATGTATGCATATATGAACACACATATATATACGATATTTGTTTTTTGCATTGTGTTTTTTTTTTTCTACCTTATATATATTTACATGTATGCCGCATGTGTATGCGTGCACTGATTTTGAACTTTGTCTGATGCAAATGCATCTACATTATATTAAATGTGTAAAAGAATACATAAGTACATGAGGTAGTACTTAAATATGTTTTTTCGTCCCCAGGCAAGTTATACCTTGTTCGAGATTTCAAAGCATAAAAAATACCTGAGCAAATGTAAAATATCACCTTAGTCTCTAAGCTTCGTAGAATAATTATCATAAATAACAAAAAAATAATAATAATAGAATGGTACATTACATATTTCGATATTAGAGCGGATACCTGAAATGGCAAGAGACAGTAAAGGTCACTGGGAGGAGCTAGGACTCGACCAGCCGGTATATAAAGTCGGCCGCCAATCTTCCAACACCACTCTAGTTTCCCCTTTTTCTTGGGTCATATCTCTCTCAAACAATGAAGTCTTTTATATTTTCTGGTTAGTATGTATTTTATCTTACTCCTATATTTATTGATAAACAGTTGCAAATAATATTTCAGAGTTATAAGTTTGGTAAATAAACTTTCTCGTCAGCTATCGTCTGCGTTGTTGTGGCAGACAGTCGCTACGGATCCAACGGAAATGGTAACGGCTTCGGGGCACCTCCTCCCAGCAACGGGTATGCGCCCCCAAGTAACACATATGGCACGCCCTACGGAGTAGACCCTGAGATTGCCGCTTTGGCCGAGAACATTCCCGGGGGCGGCGTCCCCGGCGAGGACTACCCCATCTTGGCTTCCGTGCCCGACACCGGCTTCTCCTGCGATGCCGTAGCGGTGCAAGGTTATTACGCCGACACTGCAGCTGAAGCCGGCTGCCAAGTGTTCCATATCTGCCAGGACCGCGCTCTCAGGCGCCAACAGGACTCGTTCCTGTGCCCCAACGGTACCATCTTCAACCAGCAGTACCTGGTATGTGACTGGTGGTTCAACGTGGACTGTTCTCAAGCTGAGAGCTTCTATTCCGTCAACGAACTCATCGGAGTCGTTCCCAATGCCGGTTATGCCTATGCTGCCGCCACCAATGGCATTTCCCTTAATGGCAACGGATTTGGTTCAAATGGCAAGGGCAGGAATGGAAACGGTAACGGAAGAAACGGCAACGGAGGCAACAACGGCAACCAATATGGCGCTCCAGCAGCTCCTTCCAATTCGTACGGTTCCCCTTTCTAAGCTGATGTCTATTTAATGAGCTTCGCAATTCTAAGAAAAACTCTCAGTTATGCTTTTATGTTTATCCGTTTCACTGCTACTCTGTCTTTTCTTAAATTACATTATGATTTCTTTTTAGAAATTGCCTTTATTTATTTTGACTACTGGAACTTCCAGGAGAATATCTAAAGGCAATCTCATTTAAAAATACAATATATTTATGTATATCTATATGCACTTAACATAAAAAGTGGATATTGTATTTGCATTGCATCATTTCCCTTGCGTATCCTAATAAGAGCCTGTGATAGTTTGATCAAAATTATATTCCTAAGCCAGAAAAAATATGCATCTACAATTCTTTAGAAATGAGGGTCAAGTGGGTAGCAACAAAGATGTAAGATTTTTTTTTTTATGACCATAATACATTTTCCACTGAATTTAAATCCTTCATTCATTATAATGAACAATAAACAAAGCATTAGTTACTGAGAAGCTTAAAGTACATTATGTATGAGAGGTTAGATACTAGACTTCCTCACTTTTTTCCAATTCCATATTTTATTTATTTATTTATTTTTATTATTTATTTGTTCTTTTTTCTTTTTCTTTTTTTTTTTTTTTTTTTTTGGGGGGGGGGTGATGGAAAAGAACCAGCGATATTTAACCCATTTGCCGTATACTCATGAAAAATGACTGAAATGACTTCTTTACAGACATTATACAATTGAAATGTGCTTCATAAAAACAAGTAAAGAGCAATGGATTACTGCCTTTAGGAAATGCTCTAGATGAGTCTTTACAGTCTAAATTTTCAAAGATGAATTATGAGCTGGTAAAGAATAGAATGCCAAAATTACAGGATCTTAATAAGTAAATAATATTTGTTCAAATACATGTGAATGGCTATTGCTATTTAAGATGGATCATTTAGTTATTGACTCTATGTGCGTTTGATTAGGGGTAGTATGTGATGTAGATGTGCATGCTTTGTAATTAATTTGTGAGAGTTCAAGGGGGTTGAACATGTGCAGCAGAATGGGATACAGTGGGTAAGAAGAGAACTAATGTGGGTCTAAAATTTAACTTCAACACATATAACTTACTGTACAGGCAACAACGTTTACTTCGAGAAAGTTGATGTGATATTTTCTGGATTGGTCATACAGATAGACATATGTGAACGTGTGTATGTGTGTATGTGTGTGTGTGCAAATCGATTCACTAAAGGTAACAGATAGAAATTTGACAATCATTTATGCCAAACTGAGGCAGGTATTGTGTTTTCTTATTTGCTAATGTGCAAGATTATTAATACTGATAACGAATGCAGTTCACACGAACCTTTAGTATACTGTAGATACTGCAGCTTTTGATCAACAGTGATCACTTGTTCTGGACAATTAAGAAAAAAAAATCTTAAATACATACTACTTGAATCTAAACAAAAATATACCAGATATGCCACCTTCTGGGATTCCAGAGTAAGTGCCAGATCAACTGTGACAGCACAGAAATTGACAAAAGGACTATTTTCTCAAGCGTAGTATATACTAAGTTGCTGAAGTGCTTGGAAGGTGTCCCGAAGCTTAACTCAAAGCGCAAAATTGTTAGTGCATCAGGTGCTTTCGTATTCACATTTCAGATTTTATTTTAACATGAATGTTTGAGACTGGTCGATTCGGGGGATTTATATAAGTGGGCATATTATTTATATGAATGTTTGTACACCTTTATATGGTTGTGTGTGCGTGTGTACACTACATGTGTTTGTATGAATATATGTATGTGTGTATGTTTATGTTCACTGTACATACACATGCACACACACACACACACACACACATATATATATAAATACTTATATTTGTATATACTGTGTATATGTATATACATACATTTATATACATACATATATGTCTGTATACATATATTTGTGTATTATATATACATATATGTGTGTGCTTGTGTCTGTGTGTACAAATAGTTGTGTATTATATATATGTGTGTGTCTTTATATATACATATACTGTATATGTATGTTCATATATGCATGTTTATAAATACATATGTCTATGCTTATATATACGTATATATATGTATACATATACATATATGTATGTATTTATACACATGTCTTGTGCGTGTATATGTGGTATGTATATATGCATATATATATAATATATATATACCTATACATAAATGTGTGTATTTATATATACATATACTGTATACGGATGTTTTTATATACATGTTTATAAATACGTATGTGTATGTTCATATATACATATATATGTATATATGTATATATACACATACACATGTGTTTGTGTGTTTGCGATATGTGTATGCATATACATATATATGTATTATATATATTTATACATATGCATATATATACGTATATATATAAATATATATATATATATATATATATATATATATATATATATATATATGCATGTGTGTGTGTGTGCGTGCGTATGTGTGTACATCTATGTGTGTATTAGATATATAGATAGGTAGAGAGAAAGCTGTAAATATATGATGCATATATATATATATATATATATATATATATATATATATATATATATATATATTATTATTATATAATGTTTGTGTATGTGTGTGTGTGTGTGTGCAATAGAGAAAAAGTGCGTGCATATGTGTATGTATATAAATTTATATAGATATACTGTATACGTATGTTTATATATATGCATGTGTTTATATAGAGAGAAATGTGTGTTATATACATACGTATATGTATATATGTATATATATACATATATATATGTATGCATGAGTTTTCTATATAAGTATGAATATTTATGTATATGCATATATATAGACAAATAAACATGTATATGTATATAAATGTATGTATATATATATATATATATATATATATATATATATATATATATGCACATAAAACCTATATATATGCGTGAGTTTTTGCATATAAGTATGAATATAAATATATACATATATATTGATATATGTGTGTAACTGTGTGTATGTATGTCCTATATGTGTGTGCGTCTGTTTGTACATGTGTATGCGTGCAATGACTCTGAACTCTAGCTAATGCAAAGACATATTACAAAAGATGCATATAAGATCACATAGCTACAAGAGGCAAATGTGAGGGTTTTCTGTCCATTAACAAGTTACTAGGTGCTTGATCGTTTATTGAGCAAATATAAAATATTTTCTTTGTATAAGAGCTTCACAAAGAAATGACATAATACTGTAGTACATCTTTCGATATCAGAGAGAATTTCTCAAAAGGCAAGAGAAAAGTAAGGTCACTGGGAGGAGCTAGGACTCGACCAGCCGGTATATAAAGTCGGCCGCCAGTCTTCCAACACCACTCTAGTTTCCCCTTTTACTTAGGTCATATCTCTCTCACACAATGAAGTCTTTTATATTTTCTGGTAGGTGCATAGTTCAGTTCAATCATAAATCTTATGATAAATCATTCCATATCATGATTTCTGGTAATTATTTTTCTCTCGTCAGCTATCGTCTGCGTTGTTGTGGCAGACAGTCGCTACGGATCCAACGGAAATGGTAACGGCTTCGGGGCACCTCCTCCCAGCAACGGGTATGCGCCCCCAAGTAACACATATGGCACGCCCTACGGAGTAGACCCTGAGATTGCCGCTTTGGCCGAGAACATTCCCGGGGGTGGCGTCCCAGGCGAGGACTACCCCATCTTGGCTTCCGTGCCCGACAGCGGGTTCTCGTGCGATGCCGTAGCGGTGCAAGGTTATTACGCCGACACTGTAGCTGAAGCCGGCTGCCAGGTATTCCATATCTGCCAGGACCGCGCTCTCAGGCGCCAACAGGACTCGTTCCTGTGCCCCAACGGTACCATCTTCAACCAGCAGTACCTGGTATGTGACTGGTGGTTCAACGTGGACTGTTCTCAAGCTGAGAGCTTCTACTCCGTCAACGAACTCATCGGAGTCGTTCCCGACGCCGGATACGCCTATGGACCCGCCACCAACGGCATTTCCCTTAATGGCAACGGATTTGGCTCAAACGGCAATGGCAAGAATGGAAACGGCAACGGAAGAAACGGCAACGGAGGCAACAACGGCAACCAATATGGCGCTCCAACAGCTCCTTCCAACTCTTATGGTTCCCCTTTCTAAGCTGATTTTCTGTTTAATGGAACTTTTCTCTTCTGACCAATCTGACATTGTATATAGACAAACCTTTCTTATGTTATATTCTATTTTCTTAAAATTCATATAGGTTAGCGAATCAAAGACTAATTTATGTCGGTATGTGTTCTGATTATTAAAATGATATATATAAACGGTGTATCATTATCAGCTGCAATAAACTAAAAGGTGAATGTTACAAAAATAACTTTTACCATTTAAAATGTAAAAAAAAAGAAAGAAAGAAAAAGAAAAAAAAAAAAAAAAAGAAAGAAAAAGAAAAAAAAAATCTTTGTAGATTTGCATATCTGATCCATGATAAAATAAACAGAAAAAGAAAGAAAAAGAAAAAAAAATCTTTGTAGATTTGCATATCTGCCAGGCACGACAAGCTAGTGCTGCAAGTGCACGAAATCATCCATGATAAAATAAACAGAAAAAGAAAGAAAAAGAAAAAAAAAATCTTTGTAGATTTGCATATCTGTCTCTTGGCCAAAATCGGCATGACCAGGCACGACAAGCTAGTGCTGCAAGTGCACGAAATCATCCATGATAAAATAAACAGAAAAAGAAAGAAAAAGAAAAAAAAAATCTTTGTAGATTTGCATATCTGTCTCTTGGCCAAAATCGGCATGACCAGGCACGACAAGCTAGTGCTGCAAGTGCACGAAATCATCCATGATAAAATAAACAGAAAAAGAAAGAAAAAGAAAAAAAAAATCTTTGTAGATTTGCATATCTGTCTCTTGGCCAAAATCGGCATGACCAGGCACGACAAGCTAGTGCTGCAAGTGCACGAAATCATCCATGATAAAATAAACAGAAAAAGAAAGAAAAAAAATAGCATATATGGGTTATTCGTGGTGAGTGATTCTTACGAATTCAAAATGATGCTGTTCATGTACATTTCGACTTCTCTTCTAGACAAATTAATAAAATGACTATTCATGTTAAATACTTTCGCAGTCAATTATAGGAGTGCTTTGTATGTATATACTTTTTAAGATATGATCCACACCTTTTTTCTGATTACTCCCATATTTTACTCGCACATTTTGATTGCACTGATATTTATGTTTAAGATTCTGCCGACTTTTTCTGTTCCTGAGACGAATCAAGAATATTCCCAACGAGTCCCACGGACACAAAGGCCTTGTGACCAATAATAAGATTGCAAGGATTTTTTTTCCGAAGTATAAGGTTTCTATTATGTCTTAAGAGTCGAAGGCTTCAAATGAGCTACTGAAGGATTGTCATCATTATCATCATCACGAGCATCATGACTATTTTCATAAATGCCACGCTGAACTAGCTGTTTCTAATGCTTTTCGTTTGTCGTATTGCAATGGAATTAGAATAGGTTCCGAAGGTCTAAATCAGGGGTCTCAAACTCAGTTTACCCGGGGGCCGCTGGAGGCAGTCAAAGACGTTTGAGTTGAAAATAAAGATATTTATTTTCAACACAAAAAAATTAATAAAATATTAATGATCATACAGCAGATACAGACGACTGAAGACACCACATATTGACAATTAAAATAATTAGTTTTGTCTGGTCAGCCAGTTTCAAATGTCTGTATTAACAGTTCTTTAACTTTCTGAACATGAATGGAACGTTGAAGGTTAAACTGCTCTAAGAATGGCTTCTCTTGCCTACTTCTTGCTGCTAGAGACCTGGCAGCGCTTCTCTTCACATAGCCGAGCCACATTTGGCTTGAGAGAGGAAACAGTGGAGACTCTGAGTAGGGCTTGAAGATGCTCATCAGTAAGTCTGGACTTGTACCACCCTTCAGAGCCTTTTACCCCACCGTGATTGGTTCGTTCAGCTCCGTATACAACAAGTTTTATTCATATAAATTTTGCGGGAAGCACTAACATTGATCTATAATATCAAGACGGGCCGCAAATTATCGTCCCGGGGGCCGCATTTGGCCCGCGGGCCGCGAGATTGAGACCCCTGGTCTAAATGTCATTGCTATTCAGTGAAACATGCTTCAGGTTTCCCCAGTTCCTGTTGGCATTTTCAGTGTCCGCGTATTTGTAAAATTTTAAAGTATTCTTTTCATACTTTTTATTGTCGTTATAACTGATGCTGTTATTGTTATCGTTATCATTATTATTATCATTATCATTAGTTGCAGTAGGATCAGCATCGTAATCATCATCATTATCGCAATTATTGTGGTTAGTTATTATTGCTATTATTATTACCAACACAGTTATTGTTTTATTATCAACTTAGTTGTTGTAAATGTTGTAAGTTAATATGCTTCTTCTTATTGTTATCAAACTGACGGTATGGGTGGCTATGATTTTTTGTTATCATTTTCATTATTGTTTTTATTTTTATCATTATCATTTAGTTCAGTTGACTATAATCTGTAATCTAATCTTATCACATATCTTTATATGATTAAGTATATTTTTTGAAGAAATAAACATTTAAATGCATACAATTTTGGTGAAATTAAGTAAACACTTTTTCGAATGTGTTTTACCTTTAAGTACATTCTAATTGTATATGTATGTATGTGTGTGTATGAAGTATTATGTATGTGTGCGTGTGTGTCTGTCTAATTATCTATGTATATATACATATATAAATATATACACATATACATACAAATATCTATATATGCATGTATAATGTATATGTATATGTAGATACATATATATGAGTGTGTGTGTGAGTATATACATATATATACAGATTTTTAATATATATACATATACATATACATATACATAAATATGTATGCATATACATATACATAAATATGTATGCATATACATATACATAAATATGTATGCATATACATATACATAAATATGTATGCATATACATTTACATAAATATGTATGCATATACATATACATAAATATGTATGCATATACATATACATAAATATGTATGCATATACATTTACATAAATATGTATGCATATACATATATATATGTATGCATATGTGTGTGTGTATGTATGTATCTATGTATCTACACACAAATACCTGTGAGTGGGTGTGTTTGCGTGTGTGCGCGTGTGTGTATATATGTATATAAATGTTTGTCTTTGTGCATATATATGTTTTTGCATGTGCGAGTCGTGTGTATGAATACATATACGAAATTGATTAATGAGCAACAGTTGCTAATTACTTAATATACGTTCTACATACCTCCTTGCTGCGAAATCGCCTTCAGCATTGGTATTACATGATCCAGATTTACACATACCCTCGAACTCGTTTCTTCCCTCTGGGTAATCGGCGAGAAATGAGGCTTTGTGGGAGGAGCTGTAACTCGAGAGTATAAAAGGCTGACCACCAGTTAACAAGTATCACTCTCCTGCTTCGCACTGTCTCGCTACTTGGACAATGAAATCTTTTATATTTTCTGGTTTGTATAGATGTTATGTAAAAGTATACGCACCAAATCCAATCACAAGTAACAATAATTATCATTATCATTACTATCTCTATTATTGTGTTACTATAGTGATGAAAAGACAAATTTTGTTTTCCACAGCTATTCTCTGCGTCGTTGTGGCAGACAATCACAATGGCTTCGGAGGCAACGGTAATGGCTTCGGAGCACATCCTCCCAGCAACGGGTATGCGCCCCCAAGTAACACATATGGCACGCCCAACGGTGGGTATGGAGTAGATCCTGAGATTGCCGCTTTGGCCGAGAACATTCCCGGGGGTGGCGTCCCCGGCGAGGACTACCCCATCTTGGCTTCCGTGCCCGACACCGGCTTCTCCTGCGATGCCGTAGCGGTGCAAGGTTATTACGCCGACACTGCAGCTGAAGCCGGCTGCCAGGTGTTCCATATCTGCCAGGATCGCGCCCTCAGGCGCCAACAGGACTCGTTCCTGTGCCCCAACGGTACCATCTTCAACCAGCAGTACCTGGTATGTGACTGGTGGTTCAACGTGGACTGTTCTCAAGCTGAGAGCTTCTACTCCGTCAACGAACTCATCGGAGTCGTTCCCGACGCCGGTTATGCTTATGCCGCCGCTACCAATGGTCTTGCAATTGGCAATGGCAATGGATATGGAAATGGAAGGAAATAAAAGAGAAAGGAAACGGTTCTTTCTCCTGCCATGGAACTCATAGCAATTCTCACAATGGCATTGTAAATATGCGTAGATATTTATTTATGCTTCGTTGTATCAGATAGGGATCGGTTAAAATGCCATATAATAATAATAAAGAAATAATAAGTTATACTTTATCCTTCGTCCTCACACATAAGAATGCACAACGATGCCATTCCCCATTTCTTTGTGACAACTAATATAATGTGCAAGAAATGATGCATATCACTCCACTTGTGTCTGAGGAATTGGTAAAGGTTATCTGGTTTACTTAATGTATTTCAAGATGGTACACAAACTTCCATATAATGCTATGTGTTTACGTATGTGAATATTTTTTTTTTCATATCTAAACTGCAGATACACTACCTCCTACAAGTAAACCTTTCAGTCATAATGAATAATACGTACTGAGTATAAAGTATTCATGTGTATATTGTGAATAAAGATACATCGCATCCTCCTACCTTTTAATAATCAAAATATTTTGCAATACCTTTTCTAGGCTGAAGTTGTACCAAAACTTAAATACCGAATGTTGGCCGATTCTACAGATGTTACCAATTTTGATGACAGCCTTACTAAGCAGTTTTCTTAAATCATTACTGCAACAGCCATGAAGTCAATTACCGTAAGAAATATTTGCTTGTATATCTAACTCTGAAAGTTTTACGTTATTGGATCAGGTGTTGAAATTAGTCATTAATCTTGGATCTGATACACAATCCCCTCTATGCGGTAGTCATTCCTGTTATGTACCTTGGATATTTAATAATAATTTTAGACTTTTATCAAGTCACCACTGGTTATCATCATCATATCTATGAAGTATAAATATAAAACTGTCAGACTAACAAACAAACAAAAACGGCGACAAAATGCTTCATTGCTTCACGTCCCTCTAACAGAAAATTCCGACTTGTTGAATGAGCATCATTATTATAAACATTGACCTCTTTACCACAGCTGCATGCAAATGAATAATATTCTGGACAACCTCGTTTTAGTGTATATGTGTGCATAAAAACAATTACATATGTAAACACGACTGTGCGTGTATGTGTATTTGTATGAATGTATATGTTCATATATATGTATATTTACGTAATCTTCAATTCAAATCAAATCTTATGTTGGTTAAGCCCGGCTGCCTTGCAAATGAATCAAAATCCTAGTAATTCTTCAACACAATCATTGAGAATCTAGTCTGCAAAATAACAATTTTATCTTTTATTAGATTCCAGTTCTTAACGTTATTGCACACGGTATATCTAACGAACATTTTTACAAACCATGCAAAGTAGCCTTTTTAGAATGGTTATGTTAGATTAGGTGTTTTTTCCTTTTTTTTCTAAACGGCGAAATAGATGATCGATGACTAAGTAAAATATCCCTTTTTCCCTAAGTAACCAGGTTTTACGGTAATTTTGCAAATTTACTACGGTTTTGGCTGAAATGCAGACTGACCGAGAACTTAATGTTCTGTGTGTGTGTTTCTGTGATTATATATATATATATATATATATATATATATATATATATATATAAGTATATATATAATATACATATCAATGTATGTATATATATCATATATCGTATGCATTTGTGTGTGCGTGTATGTACTATATATAATTGCATATATTTGCATACGTACATGTGTGTGTGTCTGGATGAGTGGGTGAGTGCATATACATATATATGTATACACATACATACATATAGAGTATATAAATGCATATATATGCATAAATATATGCGCGCACGTGTATTGTGCATTCATTCATGTTCACAAATGTGTGTATGTGCATTATGTACATGAATGCACACATACACACACACACACACAGTGTATGTGTGTGTGCAGTATGTGTGTGGCTGTGTAAATAGTTAGTACCACATCACGATAATAATCAGTGATGGAAAATGTGCTTATAACACATAGATAGCAGCTAGGTAAATCAGTTAACACTGATACCTCTAGATTGCACACATATAACTACATATACACCAGTATTCAGTTATTAATCAGTTGTCTTTCAAGTATTTCTCAAAACTTTTACAGCGTGGAACCACCAACAAAATTCAATCTTGATACGGATTTTATATAATCATGTTTGGCTATTTCATCAGGTATGCTTCCATGTTGCTTATACCTGTCCGGTCAGAAATGAAATTATGAAATTTTGTGGGAGGAGCTGTGACTCAGTCAGCAGATATATAAGGCTAACCACCAGGCCCCCAGCGTCAGGTACCAGTCTCTTACTATTTGAGTATCTATAACAATGAAGTCTTTCATCTTCTCTGGTTAGTGAAGATGTAACTCGCTAATGTTTCCAATAAGCCAGAGTCAAGTTTTAAATAACAGTAACAGTAACGATGATTATAATACTAAATACAATTATTACCAGAGAAATAACAAATGACGATTATAATAATACACCAATAATAGTGGTTACCCTGACAAAGAATGAACTTAATTTCTGCTTTCCACAGCTATTCTCTGCGTCGTTGTGGCGGACAATCACAATGGCTTCGGAGGCAACGGTAACGGCTTCGGAGCGCCTCCTCCCAGTAATGGTTATGCGCCCCCAAGTAACACATATGGCACGCCCAACGGTGGCTACGGAGTAGACCCTGAGATTGCCGCTTTGGCTGAGAATATTCCCGGGGGCGGTGTCCCCGGCGAGGACTACCCCATCTTGGCTTCCGTGCCCGACACCGGCTTCTCCTGCGATGCCCAGGCGGTGCAAGGTTATTACGCCGACACTGCAGCTGAAGCCGGCTGCCAGGTGTTCCATATCTGCCAGGACCGCGCCCTCAGGCGCCAACAGGACTCGTTCCTGTGCCCCAACGGTACCATCTTCAACCAGCAGTACCTGGTATGTGACTGGTGGTTCAACGTGGACTGTTCTCAAGCTGAGAGCTTCTACTCCGTCAACGAACTCATCGGAGTCGTTCCCGACGCCGGATATGCGTATGCTGCCGCCACCAATGGTCTTACCATTGGCAATGGTAACGGATATGGAAATGGAAGGAAATGAAATGGAAGTCAGAGTAGCAAAAGACCCTCCAAGCTTTAAAGGAATCCCTTTCTAGCGGATCTTACAATGATAATGTAAATACAATAATAATGTAGAGATATACATTAATTTCTCGTTTTTCAAACTAACAATATCCTAACACAAATACAGATTCAAAGTTGCGGCTCTGCCACAGTTGTAGTTCCTCAGACCAACTCTTCATATTTATTTTAATAATAACCCTACGTTATCATAACAACAGTGTGGCAAAGGTAAAAATACGAGTGAAAGACATGATCAGTTCGAATGGAAGACATTCCTAAATATCATGTCAGGTTAAAGTTTCTTCATTTTATTCACCGAGCTTCGGTATGAATCCAATCTATAGTCATTCACGACGCTGGTTTAGAGGCCACAGCAATCGCATATGAAAAGGGCAAAATGAAAAATTACGTCATTCCAAAAATCGATTTTGGAAATGGTACCTGAGACGGCAATATATTGTATGTGTGTGTGCACACAAAGCGATAAAGATTTTCATCAGGTATATATGAGAAATAAACATATTGTATGTATGTACATATGGATATATATGCACATATACATATATACTCACACAATCACAAAAATATACATATATATACATGTTTACCATTCTGTATCTATCTATCGATTTCCATCTATCGATCTATATATATGTATAGGTATGTATCTTTCTCTCTTCATATATGTATATATATGTATGTACGTATGCTTATATATGAATGCAATCTTATTGCCCATATATGTATATATATATATACATATATGTGTGTGTGTGTTTATGTGTGTGCATGCATGTATGTATATAGGTGTATATACATATATATGTGTACATATACATATATATTCATATACATATGCGTATGTATATATATACCAGTATATCTATATATACATGTATGTATATATATGTATGCATGTGTGAGTATATTCAATCATACATGCATACTTATATATATGCATATATATATATATATATATATATATATATATATATATATATACACACATATATGCATATTCATACTTATACATACAGATATATGTATGTATAGCTATGAATATGCATATATGTATATATACGTATACATATATGTATAATATATATATATATATATATGTGTGTGTGTGTGTGTGTATGTATGATATATATATATATAATGGACAGTTCTGAAAAAAAAACTACCTGCGTAAATCAAATGAAAACAAGTCATTATCATGACTTTCGTTGCCTAAAATCGAAGGCAAATCCTTACCCATACTCAACGCGGCAGTCGTAAATCATCCACAAAGCAGCAGTTCCATAAACTTTCCAGGCACTGAACCTCCGCCCAGGCTATGGCCGCGTCCTGCCACGGCCCGCTGCCTCCGTCGCTTTTCTCCACACGTCGACGTGGTTCATACGGCAGCATTTCTTCTTATTGACTCAGTTATGTCCAGCATTTCCTAAATGTCACGCTTTTCCACTCAGTAGTATTGTTTGTCATGTATCTCTAACCTAAAATAGGCCTGAACAGGATAAACAGTCATGCAGATTATGCATGTGCCATGTTATCAGGTGTTCGAGCTTGCACACACTTTGGTCATTAGCAGGGAATGGAAGTGTAGAGCTTCCTGACCAAAACAACGACCTCGTCTAAAATGTCTGCAAACTGCATTTTTCATTACAAGGAGTATTGTTTTTCATAATACATATATGTATATATAAGTATATATATTTATATATGTATACGTATGAATATATATGTATATATATATATATATATATATATATATAAGTATATATATATAAGTATATATATATATAAGTATATATATACATATATGCATATATGTATATGTATGAATATATATACATGTATATATATGTATATATACACATGTATGTATATGTATGTACATATTGTGCTTTCCTTTCTGATCTATAGATGTATATATATATATATATATATATATATATATATATATTTATATATATGTGTTGATTTATATATATGTATGTATGTATGTATACATACATATTCTGCTTTCTTTTCTAGCCCAAATTAAGTGAAATTATTTAAGGGACATATAGATGCTACATTAATAAATACGTTTATTTGTAAGCATATAAATAACAGTGAATTTACCTACCGTGATATATGTCATACCCAGTTTTGGGCAAATAATGATACTTACAAATTAAGTAAGGCCGTATAGCTGTTTCCTTTCTTCAATATGAAATTACTAATACGTCAGAATGAAAGCTTACAAGGCAAAAAAATCGTCCTCTAAAATGTAGAAATATAAATATATAAATACATACACACTGTAACTGTATTTGTGTCTGTACTGGGTGAACATTCACTCGAAATGTCACAAATATACCCAATTTCATCAACGGCCGTTAGTAAGTCATTAAAGACAAATATATGTGTATTTCATTTACAAATTACAATTAGGTGAATCAACAGATGATAACAGTTACTTGACTATACTTGTATAGAAATATAATTGCTTATTTTCTTTGATGTCTTTCCTGTTTCTCAGACATTTTTCATTTGACGGTGAAATCGATGCTAAATTTCGATCCCAGTCCAGATCTTGCGTAATCGAGATCTACTCTTTCATCAGGATTGCTGACTCGCTGCATTTCCCCGAGTGACCCACAGGCGCCCACGAAGGTCAGTGGGAGGAGCTGTGCCTCGGTCAGCAGACATATAAGGCTGACTAACAACATTTCAGCAACAGTTCCCAGTCTCTCGATACTAGATTCCTCTGAACAATGCATTCTCTTGTCTTATCTGGTGAGTGTGATTTTGGAACATTAATATGACAGCAAATCCGATCATAGAACGTAACTTTCCTTAAAGATGATTATGCATATTATATCATTACTCATTATTATTAATTTTTACTCATCACTGCCATTCTTCCTTTTCACCAGTATTAGTTTTATTGTGTTATAACAATACTATTATTAATAACAAGTAATTAGTTCACTTTTCGTTTTCAACAGCTGTTCTCTGCGTCGTTGTGGCGGACAATCACAATGGCTTCGGAGCGCCCTCTCCTCCCAGCAATGGCTATGCGCCCCCAAGTAATACATATGGCACGCCCAACGGAGGGTACGGAGTAGACCCGGAGATTGCCGCTCTGGCCGAGAATATTCCCGGGGGCGGCGTCCCCGGCGAGGACTACCCCATCTTGGCTTCCGTGCCCGACACCGGCTTCTCCTGCGATGCCCAGGCGGTGGCAGGTTATTACGCCGACACTGCAGCTGAAGCCGGCTGCCAGGTGTTCCATATCTGCCAGGACCGCGCCCTCAGGCGCCAACAGGACTCGTTCCTGTGCCCCAACGGTACCATCTTCAACCAGCAGTACCTGGTATGTGACTGGTGGTTCAACGTGGACTGTTCTCAAGCTGAGAGCTTCTACTCCGTCAACGAACTCATCGGAGTCGTTCCCAACGCCGGTTATGCTTATTCTGCCGCCACCAATGGTCTTGCCATTGGCAATGGGAACGGGTATGGAAATAGGAAATGAATAATGATAGAAATGGCAACTCCTTTTTAGCAAATTTTGCAATGGCATTGCAAAATATTGCAAAATTTACTTGCTTCACAAAGTAAGCATAATTGCTGCATATGTCTGATTTGTATCATATCACATATTTATTCCCAATATTTATTCAGGAAATAAAAGGAAAACTCTGAAGAAATGTGTTTTACACTTCACTTCTTATACCTAGGGGAGAGAGATGAGTATGAGTTGATTCACCTTAAACAAAAGTCTCGGGGATTTTGCACAGCATGAACATTTTTTGTTCTGTGAATCCATGAGCTGATATCCTTACTAGCTCATGAGGCAGCCACATGAACCTTAATCACCAACCTTGTCTTTATCACAACGCCCGTTATAGCCGCGCTGCTGCAGGTTACGGAGAGAAGAGGTATTTATTTTGAAAAAAAAGAAAAAACGTTTGATATAATGCTACTCTATGGTTATACTAATCAGCCAAACAGTTACTTTCTCTTTATTATTGTTATTATTTTTTAAATTTTCTTTGGTTATCATAAAGCATACAACCACCTGAAGTAGTTTGTTGTTGAAATATGTATGAGTATATATGCATACATATCCATTCACAGTGTATGTATACGCACCATCACGCGTACCTGTGCGTGGGGGAGAGGGGTTTGTGACTTATCATTTGATGCCTTTTCGTCGGAGCACTTAGGGCCCAATTTCCATGTACATGTTTACTAGAAAAAAAGTTTTTTTTTCTTCAGATAAGTAGATACTGTGAATCGCAAGCCTGTGTTGCAACCTGAAGCACCCTCTGGTAGACACTGTATGGTGTATCTTGCCTAAATAGTTATTAATGAAAAGCGTTCTGTGAATCTTACAGTACACCCCTACCAGCTTCCAAAATCAAAAACTAAAAGAAAAAAAAAATAAAATCATCGTCCTAAGAATAACAGTATCATAATTGATAACATTATCATTATTCTTATCAGTGTTACTTTCTAACTCCCCTTTTGCACAACAAAGTACCTAAATATAACCAGAGATAAAAGATCTTATGCCACAGAATCTTGCATTTAGCCTATTTCATTTTGCAATATATGTTTTTTTATTTTTGTACTTGTCTTCAATGACTTGTATATATATACATAAATAACCCACACATGTGTATATAAGCACATACACTGTAAAGGGTTTCTGTTTAGTGATGGTTTCACTAAATCGTGTTGATCATTATTGTATTTGTTGTGCGTATGTGTGCGCGTATACGGTGTGTGTGTGAGGTGTAAGTGTGCCTTTGGTTCGCCTCCACCGTTCGGATGACAGTTTCGAACCAACTAAAGCCTCATGTCAACCCTCGTCGGTGGTTGCCATTCTATGGTTTGCCACTCTACTCCGAGCTCCACACCTGAACACTTTGTAAGTCTTTTTCTATTTATTTTTGTATATCTTGTGTAAATATATATTTTCAACAAATGGTGAAAGGTGAGATGAACAAAAAGTGAAGTGCTGTGAAGTGATCTGAAAATTAAATGAGGAACTATTATAACGCAACCATTTATTGCAGCCTCTATAATTTGGGCCGAGCAGCCGATAGCTGCAGCCATCTCTACCAGTGGCTCCTGTACAATTCTACCTCAGGTGCATGACTGTCTTGGCTGGGATACTACTTCAACCCAACTCTTCACTAACGGATTCCTAAGATCTGCTGTATACATATCTGTGTTTTATGTACATTTGGTGTAATATATGATTATGAAAATACTGCATTGTATTTTATAAACCCGAGATGATCTATATCCCAGAGGATACCCCAAAATAAGAACCAAAGGTTTATTGCAAATAAGATCCAAGCAAAGAAACCACGGACATACACACATATCCACATACATGTATATAGATATAGATATCTATTTATCAATATAGATATACATGCAAAAAAAATGTATATGTGCACACACACATACACACATATATATACATATATTTATATATACATCTAATATGTATATACAGAGAGAGAGAGAGACATAAACAGATATTTATGCGCGCGTACACACATACACACACACACACACATATATATGTATGTATGTCAGTGACGAATCCCAGAATGATAAATATTGCTCTATAATGTATCAATTATCATTCACTGGCTAAATAAATAACGAATGCTGTTGCTTTTCGGAAAGCATACACACCACACGCACGCACATACACACCGCCACACAATCACACGCACACTCTCTCACACACACACACACACACACAAACAGGCGCATGCAAGCACACACATACACACACACACACACGAACAAACAATAAATATGCATAAACACACACACAGACTTGGACACAGAAACACACGTAAGCGCATACACACATATAATCAAGTTTATCACAGCTTTGGCAGTAACTAGCTAATAAATAGACTTATACTAAACTAATAACTGTATTTCAAGTTTATAAGCAAGAATGAATTGAATCGGTGAATAGTGATAATTTGATAAAAAAAAAAAAAAAAAAAAAAAAATATATATATATATATATATATATATATATATATTATACTCATATGTATATACAAATGTCGCTCTAATTAGTAATTAACTTTTAATATAACTTTTAATATTAACAATTTTTTTCTGAATTCTGGCGTGCTTTCATTGTTAAACTACGACCACAGAACTTACAACGAAGATCCACTGTTTCATCAGTACAATAACATATTGCATACTCCAGGGGACCAAAAAGAAAGAATGAATTGAAGGTCTGTGGGAGGAGCTGTGACCCAAGCAGCAAATATAAAAGGGAGGACGTCAATCATTCACCATCAGTTTCTAGTCTTCCAGGAGTCGAACCATGAATTCCCTGTTGTTTTCAGGTCAGTGTGGATTATAAAATAATGTTTTTTAATATGCCAACGATTTCATTACTATTACAACAACTACTAATAATTATAATAAATATTCCTTTTTGTTTTCAACAGCTTTTATTTGCGTTGCCGTAGCGGATACTCATAATGGTTTCGGAGCACCTCGTCCTCCCAGCAACGGCTATGCGCCCCCAAGTAACACATATGGCACGCCCAACGGTGGGTATGGAGTAGACCCTGAGATTGCCGCTTTGGCCGAGAACATTCCCGGGGGCGGCGTCCCCGGCGAGGACTACCCCATCTTGGCTTCCGTGCCCGACACCGGCTTCTCTTGCGATGCCCAGTCAGTGCAAGGTTATTACGCTGACACTGAAGCCGGCTGCCAGGTGTTCCATATCTGCCAGGACCGCGCCCTCAGGCGCCAACAGGACTCGTTCCTGTGCCCCAACGGTACCATCTTCAACCAGCAGTACCTGGTATGTGACTGGTGGTTCAACGTGGACTGTTCTCAAGCTGAGAGCTTCTACTCCGTCAACGAACTCATCGGAGTCGTTCCCGACGCCGGATATGCTTATGCCGCCGCCACCAATGGTCTTGCAATTGGCAATGGCAATGGATATGGAAATGGAAGGAAATAAACGAGAAAGGAAACGGTTCTTTCTCCTGCCATGGAACTCACAGCAAATCTCACAACTATAGTATTGTAAATATACATAGATATTTATTTATGCTTCATTGCATCACATAGAGATCGGTTAAAATGCCTTATAACAATAATAAAGAAATAATAAGTTATACTTTATCCTTCATCCTCACACATAAGAATGCACAACGTTGCCATTCCCCATTTCTTTGTGACAACTAATATAATGTGTAAGAAATGATGCATATCACTCCACTTGTGTCTGAGGAATTGGTAAAGGTTATCTGGTTTACTTAATGTATTTCATGATCGTATACAGACTTCCATATAATGGTATTTGTTTACGTATGTGAACATGTTTAACTTTTTTTCATATCTAAACTGCAGATACACTACCTCCTACAAGTAAACTTTTCAGTCATAATAAATAGTATGTACAGAGTATAAAGTATTCATGTGTATATAGTGAATAAAGATACATCGCATCCTCATACCTTTTAATAACCAAAATATTTTACAATACCTTTTCTAGGCTGAAGTTGTACCAAAACTTAAATACCGAATGTTGGCCGATTCTACAGATGTTACCAATTTTGATGACAGCCTTACTAAGCAGTTTTCCCATCTTGGATCTGATACACAATCCTCTTTACGCGGTCGTCGTCCCTGTTGTTACGTACCTTGGATATCTAATAATAATTTTAGACTTTTATCAAGTCACCACTGGTTATCATCAAATCTATGAAGTATATATAAAAAACTGTCAGACTAACAAACAAACAGAAACGTCGACAGAATGCTTCATTGCTTCACGTCCCTCTAACAGGAAATTCCGACTTGTTGAATGAGCCTCATTATTATAAACATTGACCTCTTTACCACAGCTGCATGCAAATGAATAATATTCTGGACAACCTCGTTTTAGTGTATATGTGTGCATAAAAACAATTACATATGTAAACACGACTGTGCGTGTATGTGTGTGTATTTGTATGAATGTATATGTTCATATGTAGGTATATTTACGGTATCTTTAATTTAAATCAAATCTTATGTTGGTTAAGCCCGGCTGCTCTGCAAATGAACCAAAATCCTGGTAATTCTTCAACAAAATCATTCAGAATCTCGTCCGCAAAATAACAAACTATTTGATTTTTTATTAGATTCCAGTGCTTAACGTTATTGCACACGGTATATCTAACGAACATTTTTACTATCCATGCAAAGTTGCCTTTTTAGAATGGTTATGTTATATTAGGTTTTCCTTTCTTTTTTTTAAATGGCGAAATAGATGATCAATGACTAAGTAAAATATCCCTTATTCCCTAAGTAACCAGGTAATTTTGCAAATTTACCACGGTTTTGGCTGAAATACAGACTGCCCGAGAACTTAATGTTCTGTGTGTGTGTTTCTGTGATTATATATATATATATATATATATATATATATATATATTTAGGTATATATATAATATATATATAAGTATATATATAGTATCTATATCTATGTATGTATATATATCATATATCATATGCACTTGTGTGTGCGTTTATGTACTATATATAATTGCATATATTTGCATACGTACATGTGTGTGTGCCTGGGTAAGTGGGTGTGTGTGCATATACATATATATGTATACACATACATATATATAGAGTATATAAA